CTTCAGGGCCCACGACTTGCACCGTTCCCCCCCCCCCCCCCCCATGTGTCGCCCCCCTCCCCATTAAGCGACGCCCAAGCTGTCTTGCCTCGTCCTGGTCAGGTGCCCGCCTGCCGGAGGGAGCTCGAGGCGATGGTCGACCGGAAGGCTCATGGGCCTGTTCTCCACCATCACCGCCACACGTTGGAGGGGGAGGGGGTGCTCCTCCTCCTCCTCCTCCTCCTCCTCCTCCTCCTCCTCCTCCTCCTCCTCCTCTTGGTCCTCCTCCTCGCCCTCCACCTCCTCCCCCCCCTCCAACTTGTGGTGGCGGTGGCGGTGGAAGGCAGGCCCATCGCAGGTCCACAAGAGGATAGCCGACGTGCCTGGCGGCGCATCTTGGTGCACGCCTGCCCGACCCCCCCCCCAACCTTCGGCCACACGCAGAGGGGGGTGCGCGTGAAGTCGGGCGTGTCCCTCCACAGGGGGACTGTTCAAAAACAATCCACAAAAAATAGCCTGGGGACGATTTGTTGAGCATTTTCCTAATTTCGGGGCATCTTGTTTTTTTTATTTTTCGCCCAAACTCCGCCTGTAAGGGGGACACGCCCGACCCAAGGGTAAGGGGGGGGGCTGGGGAAAGCTTCTTAAGAATCGGGGACACGTTGGACTCGAGTGCGCCAGAGCCGGGGTTTGCCGACGCCTCCTGTCGAGCTCGTCTTGGACTTTGACGGTCCAGTTCTCGGGGGATGCCCGCAGCGGGAGCTCGCTGCAAATTTCAGATTGGATCTCGTCATTTTCATGATGGCCCCGTCGGGCCAACCCGAGTCCCCCGAACCCGAGTCTTACGTCTCCCCGAGCAGCTGGGGGTAGTTAGGGGGAGGGGGGAAGGCTTCTTAGAAGCACCCCTGCTTCCTAGAAGCCGCGAGCCTTCTCTACAGATACTGGGCCGGCGCCTGTTGAGAAGCAGCCTCTTTCTAAGAAGCCTCCCCCTCTCTCCCACTACCCCCTTGTGCGTGCCGCCAACGCCTCCTCTGCACTTCCAACTCCCCTCCCCAGACCCCCACCAGGCTGAAAATTGAGAGAACACGCCCCGTCATGATTTTTGCCCGAGGGGGGAGGAGGAGGAGGAGGAGGAGGAGGAGGAGGAGGAGGAGGAGGAGGAGGAGGAGGAGGAGGAGGAGGAGAAGGAGGGCCAAAGTGGAGGCGGAGGAGGAGGGCCAATTAGGAGGAGGAGGAGGAGCAGGAGGAGGAGGAGGAGGAGGAGGAGGAGGAGGAGGAGAAGGGCCAAGGCGAAGGCGGAGGAGGAGGAGGCTCCTGTCCAGCTTGGTACGGTTCAGCGCCGCCGACTCTGGCCCAGGCTGGGACGGCCTCCCGAGGCTTCCCGGGCCCCCGCCCCCGAAAAGGGCAGACAGACAGACAGACAGACAGACAGACAGACAGACAGACAGACAGACAGACAGACAGACAGACAGACACACAGACACACACACACACACTCACTCACACTCACACTCACACACACATGCACACAAACACACACAAACACACACACACACACGCACACACACACACTCTCACACACACACACAAGCACGCACGCACGCACGCACGCGCACGCACACACACACACAGACACACACACACACACACGCGCACACACACACAAAAACACACACACACACGCACACACGCGCGCGCACACACGCACACACACATACACACACACACACACACACACGCACACACACAAAGTTCAAGCACATGTAATACACAAGTCCGAAGCCCCCTCTCCGCGGCAATCGAGGGTCGAGGGCAAGACACGGCACTCCTACCCAGCCCCTTCAACCCCAACCCAACACATCCACCCAACCCCTCTGAACCTCTCCGAATGCTTCGAGTCACTCCGACTCCTGTTAGACGGCTCCGACTCCAGGCCCCAGCCCCTCCGCTCGAGCTACCTCTGCTCCCCGCCTTCGCCCATCCACCAAACAGTGTCGGCTGTCGAGGCGGTGTGCAAGAGCCGATGCCTGGCGCGCGGCGTCGGTGTGCGGCCCCTTTCGACGCTACACACCAAGCGGATCCGAGCGCAGCACGTAGGCGCTGGCCGAAATTTTGGCTCCTCCTCCTCCTCCTCCTCCTCCTCCTTCGTAGCCATTTTGGCTCAAGCGGGCTCGGCTGCGGGAGGAGCCCCTGCAGGCGAAGCCTGGGGGCCGGCGGCGGCGCGACGTGCTCGACGAGGTCGCGGCCGAGAGGTCTGCAGATGCTTCGCAGCGCAGTGGGAGCTGCCAAGCAGCTGGGGGCGCGGCCCGACCTTGCCGAGTCCGCCCCGACGGCCATGGTGGGCGACGCTGCGCTCGCGGACCGCGCTGCGGCGGTCGTCCCGGCGCTGCAGCAGCTGGCCGCTGGTCGAGTGCCGCCCTGGCTGGATCGGCTCAGGGAGGCCGCCACGGGGCAGCGGCGGGGCGCGGAGAGAGGCGTGGACATCGCAGTGCAGATCTGCGTCGCGGAGCACGTGGCGTTCAAGGCTGGAGGGTCCAGGGCGCGGCGGCGCCACCGATTGCCGACGGCCTGGCGGCGGGGTGCCCCGCCTTTCCGGTCTGGCGCTGGACCCCGCTCCGCTCTGCAAGAAGGGGTGGGTGACCTCAACGTGCCTCTGGAGGCGCTGCACCTTGCTTCGTCTGCGAGCCTTTGCTCGTGCGTGAGGGGCGCTTCCTCTTGATGCTCGTCCTCGTGCGCTCCGCCGCCGGCCTCGTGCGGTCGGCTGCGGGAGCAGGATGGCGGGCCCCGGGGCCCCCATCGGTGGACACGGTGGCATTCTCGAGGTGGGGGGTTAGGGTGCAGCCGCCCAGATCGCTGGAGTTGGAGGAGCGGGGCCTCGATGTGGATCGGGATCAGAGGACGTCCGACGAGGCGTTCGAGGCTGTGGGCGATGTCGCTGGCGTGTTAGGGGCGGGCGCGGCACGCCCCTTGTTCTGGGAAAGTCGGGAAGGGCCCCTGAGGAGGCCAGGACCCAGGTGGTGGAAGGAGTGGTCCGCGCGGGTTGTGGGGCCCAGGTGGTGGGTTGAGTGGCCGCAATCTCACGCCCTGCCGCTGAGGTGGGTGAGATGAAAAGCGTGCAATCCCCGACGCCGGGAAGGGCCCAGGTGGTGGGAGGAGTGGCCGCCTCTCGAGTACTTGTGGGTCTTCAACTGCCACGGGCCGCTGTGCAAGTGCATGTCGGGCGTGAAGATGGTAGTTACCATCGATTACGGTGCTGTGTATGTTCCAGCTGATGGTCACGGACTTCCTCGGGCGCTTGGCATAATGGAGCAGAGCCGCAGGGGTTGCCGAGGCTCGCGGGCGTCCACGTGAGCTGGCAGAGCCACCTCCCTCTTCCCTTCCTCCTCCTATTCCCTTCGCTTTGCTCCTCCTCAGGGCTCCAGTCCGGCAGTTGATGGATGAAGTGGGCTGCGGAGTTGTAAAATATGATCCTCCTCCTTTTTCTCCTCCTCCTGCTCCTCCTCCTCCTCCTCCTCCTCCTCCTCCTCCTCCTCCTCTTCCTCCTCCCCCTCAATCATCAAGGATTACAGTTTTGGAGGTGTTCATTCATTTGGAGGGCTTCCGGAGACTTCCGCAGAGCCCTGGAGACTTCGGAGGCTTCTGGTTTCTACTGTTTGGGATCTGCTGTGGTCGGCGAGTTGGGGGAACTCGCGAGTCTGATTGCCAATCCGTTGCACGAGAGAATCCCCGACCCCCTTGCGCTCCACGCTCTGATCCCTGCGATCGCCGCCGACGTCGGTTCTCCCCGCGCGCTCGTTCCCCGAAGAAGTTGCAGCCACAAGGGGGGCCCGAATAGGACGCTGGCCGTGGAAATGCGATTGCCCTCCAAGGCAGTTCCCACATTCTCCGCGTTCTTGCTGCCTTCCGAGACGGTCCCCGGCATCCTGGAGTCTGTCTCCGTTTATAAGATTTGTGCCCCTCCCCTTTGGTGTAACTAGAGTTGGGCGCTGCAAAGGAGGTCGTGCCGTGCCACCACTGCCCCTGCCTCCGGCTTGGCTTTCCCCGCGGCCCCTGCAGCAAGAGCCAGGCTGCGGGCCGACACGGTGTCAGGAGAAGTGGTCCCAATGGCGGGGGAGTGTCACAATCTCCCTCCCCCCGATTGCGGGGGGTCGCGGGTTGGGGGCCGTCATCGAATGGTGGCGGACAGGGTTCAGCGGGCATCTCAGATCAGTGTGCGTGGACTGCGTTTCGCTGTGGTGCAAGCAGGAGGTGCAGGCAGGAGGGCATGGCTTGGAGGATCTTCTTTCGATTATTCCCATCTTCGGGGACGTGGTGCTAGATGTTCTTCGACGGGAATTGGCCGTGAGGCCGGGCCTTGAGTTGAGCCCAGTGGACGAGCCGCGCGTGAGGGACATCCTGGCTCGCTTGCTCAGCGAGGTGAACAGGTACCTAGAGAGCGAATGGTTCATCGCGAAGACCACCCCTGGCACCGCCCGCAACCTGTTGCCCGAGCCACAGCTCTTCCAGGCACCCAGCTGGGCGCCGCCGATGGAATTCGACAAGGCGGTGCCGAAGACGGCCTTCCTGCACTCCGAGATCGAGGGGCGCTTCGTGGTGACACGATATGTGAGCCGTGGGGCGATGGGCCGTGTGTGGGAGGTGGAAGACCGGTTGTTTCCCAACCAGGAGCTGCCTCTCTGCCTCAAGACCTTCTACTGCGAGGAGGAGTGCCAGGAGATGTGCCAGGAGATGGGCATGACGCTGTCCGAGTTCAAGGGCCAGGTCTTGGACGAGCTCTCGCAGGTGGACCGGTGGCTGGCGTCGAAGACGCGCCTCCACGTCTCGCGGCACATTGTGCGCGTGGTGAAGGTGCTCTGGAACGCCAAGGTTGTTCGCGCCTCCAGAAGTTCTGACCTTGCCGGTGGCAGGAAGAATCAGCAGGAGTTTGTCATCAATGGCATCCTCATGGAGTTCTGTGAGAAGGGCGAGCTGACCTCGTATCTCTGGGACGAGCAGGAGCGGAAGCCGCGGGCCTTTGACGAGAAGACCGCGCAGTTTCTCTTCGCGCAGCTCACGGAGCTCCTGGTGGAGCTGCTCGCGCCCAGGGGCGTCGCACGAGGGGACGACGAGGCCTACACCTTCCAGAGCGACCAGCGCGACGTGGCGAGCCTCAGCTTGCCCACCGACCCCCTGGTTCGAACCAGCTCCGTCGGGGGGCAGTCCTCGACGGAGGGCCCGGCGGCCGCCCTGCTCAGCTCCTTCGAGATGCCTCCGACGCTCCCCTACTTCCACAACGACATCTGATGGGCCTGTTTTCCACCACCACCACCACAAGTTGGAGGGGGAGGGGGTCCTTCTTCTCCACCTCCACCTCTTCCTCCTCCTCGTCCTCCTCTTCCTCCACCTCTAATTACCTCGTCCTCGTCCTCCTCATATGGTCCAGACCAGAGGTCCTCCTCGTCCTCCTCCTCCTCTTCGTCCTCCTCGTCCTCGTCCTCCTCCTCCTTCCCCCCTCCAACTTATAGTGGTGGTGTTGGAGAACAGGCCCACCAGCATCAAGCTGGAGAACCTGGTCATATCGGGCACCACGCTGAAGCTCATAGACTTCCAGAGCCTCGCGCCGCTGGGCCAGCCCTCGGCCGGGGCGGTGCAGCGGGGGATGGAGCACGCCAGCAGGATGTCCAAGACGAGCAATATGCACACTACTGTTATGATGTTCCAGCGTACTGTAGCCTTGACCACCAGAAAGAATTTCGAGCACCAAAAAAGTACCGAAACTTGAGGGCTTTCACGTGTCGGGCCCTGGGAGACACTCGTCCGACACTGTTTCGACACTTTCCCGGGTGCTCGAAATTATTTCTGGGATGTGGAACGAGCGGGGCCACGTAATATTACGGTAGGTTCGCGCGGCGTGGGCGCGCCAGCGACGCCGGCGAGCGCGCTCAAGGTTGAGTTCTGCGACGCGGAAGCACCGATGGGCACGTTGGCGCGCCTGGACCCGACTGAACTCAGCCTTGAACGGTCGGAACTTTGATCGATTCAAGATTGGAGGATCAACGCGGTGTCAAAAACCTTGGCGCGCGCCGACGCCGCGCGATCTTCGGAGGCCCGCGCGGATTTCTTGGGTCGGTGTTGGACCCCCTTCTCCCCGGGCGCGCGCGCCAGGGGCGGCGTTGGAGGCACCGCTAAGGGGGGACGCAGACCATGGCGATCGGCAGGGGAGCTCGCGCGTGAGGAGCGGAGCATACCTGCGCCGCCGTAGTGGGTGGGGAAGGCAAACCCGACGACGCTCGACGACACGTAAGAGAGACCCTTCGCCGGAGTGACCTTTGGTGCGCACTCATGGGGGTCCCCCGTTCGCCGCGCTCGTCGCGATGGTAGCGTCTTGCGCGCTTGTGTGTTGGCCTCCTCGCGCCCCCCCAAGAAGCCGCGCACCAAAGGTCACGCTTGCCCAGGGTCACTCTTACGTGCAGCCGAGACGCGGAAGACGGTGATCAGCTGCCTCTGGAGGCAGCAGCAAACCCACCTGGCGGGGTCGAAGAAATCCGCACGGGTCCCCGACAGTTCATGTCTATGTAGTCGTTCCGTTTCTCTAGCCCAGATCTTTGGATGCAGGCTTTGTTCGGCCGCGATCGGTCGCGACCGACCAGGACCGATCTGGTCGCTGCCTATTTTGAATCAAATCGGTCGTGACTGGTACCGGAATTTGGAGCGACATTGTCAGCGACCGATCTCGTCGGCCTCGGCCAGCAAAACCTGCCTCCAGTGGTGAAGGATGGGGGCTCCCCATGGGAGGTGCACGGGCCACAGCTCGTGGGCGAATCGCACGTTCGTATGCGCGGCCTCGCGGGCCTGGCCCCTGCGGATACGGGGCGTGTTTTTATCGCGGGTGCTCCGCGCGCAGCGTGTGCGTGATCCCAAGGCTCGCGCCCCGGAGTCCAGACCGCGAGGGTGGGGATGCGGCTTTGTTCGTCGGCCTCGGCCAGCGAGATTTTGCATCCAGTGATCGGGGAAGGATCGGCGGCGAGCCTGGGGTGGAAGTGAGGAGGGGCGGGCCCTCTCAGAAGGCTCAGACATCCCCCAGCCTTCTCAGAAGTGGTGTCCTAGGCCTTCCCCGAAGACACAAGAAGACTTCTCAGAGAAGGCGCGAGGGTTTCTCAGAAGTCCCGCCGCCTTCTGAGAAGGCCTTCTCCTTCCCAGACCCCCGACGTCCTGATTCTTCACCACGTCGACCCCCAGAGGTCGGGACCTCTCACCCGGGACCGGTTTTGTCGTCCCGAGGCTTCGGGGAGGGTTCCCAGAGGCCGAAAATAGTACAACATTTCCCGTCGAAAGGAGCGCACAACCTCCCGAACATAGCGCCAATAGCGCAAACAATTGTTCACAACGCGCCGCCGAAAGGATCTACATGCACAGGCACCCCGCCGCGCGCGGCCAGAGCCGGCATCCCTCCGCCCCGTGCGCGGGCGTGGAGGCGCAGGCGGAGGGGACCATGCTGTGGGCCTGCGGCATCGTCCTGGTGCGGCTGCTGTGCGCGGAGCTGCCCCAGGACTGGGTGTACCGGCACGGGGGCCCGGGGCTTAGTGTCGGAAGCTGGAACCTAATACGTATAGCCCCTCGCAGTTGGGGATGAGAGCGACGTGGGCGGCGAGGACGTCGGCAGTCTGCGCAGCTTTGAAGGAGCCCGCCGCAGGCGCCCATTTTTTGTTGCAAATAGTGCAGTGGGCCCGCCGCAGGCGCCAGTTCTTGTTTTTGTTCGTGAAAGCAGTGCGAGTGGGTCGCGGGGTGGCTCGCGGGGCTGGGCTCAGTGTTAAGTCGGGCGTGTCCCTCTACAGGAAAAGTCTTGGAAAATTGAAAAAATAGGATGGGAACGAATTTTCTATTATTTGTTTAAACTAGTTCGGAGTATTTTGGGACTACTTCTTACTTCTCGTCCAAGATCCGCCTGTAGGGGGACATGCCCGACCTAAGCTTAGTGTCGGAAGCTTGAACATATACAATAACAGGTTTCAATACCAATGGCGGGCTGTGTTTCAATCCCTGGACTTTCGGAGGGTCGTGGACGACGTCGGGGTGGTGGGGTGTATACTCCGTTGATCCGTGTCCCGGGGAAGCAACGGAACATGTATACACCAGGGTCCCGTATACACCAGGATCCGCCGTTTTCCTGTGGAGCTGGGTAAGGCGTCGGTGTACAGAGTTTGGTTCTCTATAGTTGGCCCCGGAGACGGCAGGAGAGTTTTTGTTGTTGTTTTCATGCAGTTGTCTCTGGCTGGAACGCGGAACGGTATTTTCGCGGCCATGGCTGGTTAATCTATCCTCTGGTGTGCGTTTTCGTAAGATCACGACGGAATTGCCAGGTCGGCGGATGCGTGCAGAAATCTGGAACATGACAACGGTATATAACCAATCTGCCCCCGGAAACGGGAAGCAACGGGCTCCTGCTGGGACTGGACCCAGAGCCAGAGCCAGAAACACCCCGGTTTCTGTTGCATCTTCGGGGGACCTCGCCTGTCCCCAAAATTGGTGTCTTTTGGGGGGCCCGACGCGTGCTCGATGCGGACTCGACGCGGATTTGGCGTGGATTCGACGAGGATTCGACACGGATTCGAGACGGATCCGACGCGTCCGATATGGATTCGACACGGATTCGACGCGGACAGGGCCGCGACGGGACAGACAAGGTCCTCCGAGGATGCAACATAACACGGCGACGGAACCCGGGAAAACAAGCGCCAGAACCGGCAACACACACTGCACAACGGAACCGGTCCAACCACTGCCCTGTCATTCCCAGGGTCGGGTCGGGCATGTCCTCCTACAGGCGGGTTTCGGATGAAGAATGGAATGTAAGATCAGCGTTGGCTCCAAATAGATGGGAGGACAGGGGGAGGACGAGAGGAGGATGGGAGGAGGACGAAAGGAGGACGGGAGCAGGACGGGAGGAGGACGGGAGGAGCAAAATCAAGCAAGCGCAAGCAAGCAAGCGGAAGCAAGCAAGCGCAAGCGACCATTAACAAGCAAGCAAGAGCCAGCGATCAAGTGCAAACAAGCAAGGGCAAGCAAGAGCAAGCAAGCGAGAGCAAGCACGCAAGAGCAAGCAAGCAAGTGCAAGTGAGTGTTTGAGTGCAAGTGCAAGCATGCCATTCGAAATACGGGGGGGCCATTGGAAAAAGGGGGGGCTGAAGACCAATTACTTGTGATGAGCTGGGACTCCTATAGGGCAGGCCTATTTGGAGAATTTTGCATAATGGACAGAAATAGCAGAAAGTCGTCTCCGGGCTGCTTTCTGACCTACTTCTGAATGTTCCCCCCGTAGCGTTAAGTCGGGCCCGTCCCTCTCCAGGAGGAATATTCAAACATAGTCAAAAAGTCGTATGGGGACTATTGTTTGATTTCTTTTGACCATTTGGGAGTATGTTTTGAGTATTTGTTTTATTTGTCGTCGAAAATCTTCCTGCAGGGGGACACGCCCGACTCAACCGCAGCGGGACGTGCCCGAATGTCTGACCCATTTCTGAACGTTTCCTCCTCGTCCTCCTCCTCCTCCTCCTCCTCCTCCTCTTCCTCCTCCTCCTCTTCGTCCTCCTCCTCCTCCTCCTCCTCCTTCTCCTCCTTCTCCTCCTCCTCCTCCTCCTCCTCCTCCTCCTCCTCCTCCTCCTCCCCCTCCCCCCTTCCCGTAGCGGGACGTGCCCGACCTCAGCCCGGGGCCCGAGCCGAGGCCTGGGGAGCACGGAAGGCCTCGAGAGGGAGCTGCCCCCCGGGCACTGCCTGCTGCGGCGCGGCGGCGGCGGCTGCCGCGACCTCCTGGAGAGGATCTTCTCCCGGGAGGCGACGACGGGCCTGCTTTCCAGCACCACCACCACCAGGAGTTGGAGGTGAGGAGGAGGAGGAGGAGGAGGAGGAGGAGGAGGACGAAGAGGAGGAGGAGGAGGAGGAGGAGGAGGACGACGAAGAGGAGGAGGAGGAGGAGGAGCAGGAGCAGGAGCAGGACCCCCCCCCCCGCCACCGCGGCGGTGGAAAACACGCCCATCAGGCGACGCCCACGATCGCAGAGGTCCTCATGCACGACTGGGTGCGCTCGGCCGCAAAAATCACTGGGAGGAGGGTGCAAGAGGTGCCCATGCCGCTGCCCCTCCGCCCGTTCTCCCCTCTTTTGGGGGGCCTCCTGGGAGGTCCTCGTCGCCACCGCTGGACTCGCCTCGAGATCCTGGTCGGAACCCACCCCGAGAGAGGTCCGGGGGGTTGGTGTACCCGATCACGGGAGCAGTGCGTTCGGGCGACGAAGTCCATACGTATCCCCTGCCCCCAGGCCAGGCCCTTCCTGGGCCCAGGAGCTGTGTATACGCCCCCCAGGCAATGCCAGGAGGGCGTATGCACCGCTGCTGGGTTCAGGCTGGGCCTTGCCAGGGAGCAGTGAGCAGTGGATATGTATTATAGATGCCGTCGCCCTACATGAGTGTTCTCGCAAGCCCGTTCTTTAAGTGCGTTGCCGAGCGCTAGCGTCTGGTGATCGATGAGGAAGCGCCGATTTGGCGTCGGGTAGCGCTGATGCAGCGCCGATTAGCGCTGGTTAGCCTGGACTCGCCAGAACCAGCAGCATTGCATTGGCGGCTTCCATGAGACGAGGCGCGCGTGTCCGCTGGCAGGCGAGCCCCCTCGGAGCGGCGCGGGCGGGCCCTGGGCCAAGTTGGATGCAGGTAACATCCTTCTCCCAATTGTGTCGCGATGTCCGGTCTCCCGCAGCAGCCAGTGGCTGTCCGCATAGCGTCTGTGTGACGACGGCGGGTCTGGCTCACGTGACCCAAGGGCGGAATGCTCCCCAGACTAGCGGCGACTGCCGCGCTCCTCGAGCGCGCTGCTGCGCCAGTCCCCGGCCGACCTCTCCGCCGAGTCGCGGTGCCGCGTGGGTCAGTTGATGCCAGAAGGCCCCAGGGAGGAGAGGCCCTACAGGAGTGGCTGGCCGTATGGATTGTGGCACGTCGTCGCGCCGCCTCTTGTCTCGAAGAACTTATTTCTTCGTCCAAAGAATTTATTTCTACGAAAGTCATATACTGTTTAAGAAAGCCTCGTGCCGGTGTTTTATGTATTTCTTAGACATGTATTTCTTAGAAATGTACAAAACGGCACAAACAGTGAAAAGCTGCTGGCGCTTCGCCGCCGGGGGGGGGGGCAGCGCAGATCCAAGAGATCCGCGCGGAGCGCCACGAGTTTATGTCCATGCCGCGTTTTCGTGGATTCTATCTTCGCTGTCCCATGTGATCACCGAGCGCGTTTCACGACTGGCACAGTGCCTACTCGCAGACGTTCGACAACAAAAAACCCACGTTCGCCTCGATGTGCTCCACACACACACACATATATATATATATATGTATATATGTATATATATACATATGTATCGTAGATCCCCAACGGCGGATCCAGGCCATTTGCGAGAAGCGACTCTGCGATTAGTGGAACGCGCCTGCCTGTATGAGCTGCCGCCGGGAGGTGCGGGAGGCCCGCATGGCCTGGAACCAGTCGGACGCCCACGCCCCCGAGCCGCCGCAGGCGGTGCAGCTGGCGCTGCGGGCGCCCCCCTCTGCGGGTGCCGACCGCTGGAACGCCTGGATCCCGCTGAAGGACCCCTTGATCGGCGGCGAGCGAGGGGGGGGGGGGGAAGTGAGAAGGAGAAGGCCTTCCCAAAAAGCGACAGGGCGTCTCAGAAGCCCTCGCGCCTTCGGAAGAGCGTTCTACGTCTCCGGGGAAGCTCAGGGAACTTCTCAGAAGGCTGGGGGGCTTCCGAGCCTTCTGAGAAGGCCCGCCCCTTCTCGCTTCCCCCCCAGGCTCGCCACCGAACCGAGGAAGAACGCACTGCCTGAGCATAGACTCTCTTCGCTCCGCGCGGATGTTCTGGATCTGCGCAAGGGGCCCCCTGCCTCCGGCTTCCGTCCATGGCGCGCTCCGCGCGCCAGGGAGGTGGGTCCAGCTCCATTTAAGGGAGTCCGCGCGGAGCTCGGAGAGTTTGTGTATATGCAGTTGTTCCCTCCGCGAGGACATGCGCGTCGAGGGCAAGCCGCCCCCGTTGGCCAAGGCAGCCTGTCCACGGCTGGGGCTGCCCTGAGATCCTGGCCTCTCCGTTTTTCTCGGTTCGGGGGTTTTCGAGCCATCGCCGGGCCCGGGCCCTCACAGATCGCTCTGGCCCGAGGAGTGGTGCAGAAGCAGTTGGTCCTGGGTTCTGGTTTTTTGTTTTTGGGTGTGTTCTGCTTTTTTCGCGACGTCGGATTCTCAGGAGAGCTGGGGCCCTTGCCCCACCCCTTGCGGGCCCCAGCGGCCTCGGGGACCCCTCGAGTGAGGTCCTCGGTGCGATCCCTGATCATTGGATGCCGACTTTTGTTCGGTCGCGATCGGTAGCGAGCGGGCGGCACTCCGAGTCGGTCGCGACCGATGGCCATCGGCCGCGACCCATTTTGAAGCAAACCCGTCGCGACCGATGCCTGAATGTTGAAGCAAAGTCGGTAGCGCGTCCCGTGGCCCCCCAAAAAGCCGCGCACCAAAGGTCACCCTTACCCAGGGGCACTCTTGCGTGTAGCCGATTCTCCTTCTCCCTTCACCCCCGTCGCTCGCCGCTGGCGTGAGGTCAAGGAGATCATCGACCTGGCAGTGGCGTACTCGGACGGCCTCTTCCGGCAGGACGGCTGCCCGGAGGCGGAGCCGGAGGGCGGGGCGGGCGCCGCTCCGGAGGACAGCGTCCACGAGTGGCGGTGGCGGATCCTCGTTCGCACGGGCGACGAGATCGAGGATCGCCGGGGAGCTGCCGACCCCGATGCCCGAGCGCCGCCCAGAGTTGACTGCACGTAGTAAGAGGGAACCTTCGCATGAGCGACCGTGGGTGCGGGCCCACTGGGGTCCCAGGATCGCCGAGCGCCATGCGATAGTAGCGTGTCGCGCGCCTGTGTCTGGCCCCCTCGCGGCGCTCCAAAAGCCGCGCGCCAAAGGTCACTCTTACCCAGGGTCGCTCTGGGGTGCAGCCGAAAAGCTTGGGCCGCTCAAAACCCTGACCTTACAGACGAACTTAGAAATAGCACCAGGACCTTGGCGTTTAGATTGCTGTCGAGGCTTGAAGTAATCAAGATCGATCTATAGGTCTGGAGGGCTATTTTTAAGCACTGGAAGGTCATGGAAGAGGGGGGGAAGCTCGGGGAGACACCGTGGGGAGGCTATGTGTCAGGACGCATCCCCCTTGAGGATGGACGCCCCTCCTGCGCACATACCCGAGTGTGGCCCCAGATTGTTGGTCCAGACAAGACCCCCCCAAATCGGGGATTGGTCGGGGGTGGACAGAACCCCTACCCTGCCACGTCGATTAGTGAATTGTCCGTTTTCGGTTCTCGAGAGGGCGCCGCGGCCGTCATTGTCCAGGCTTGCGCCCGCCAGGTTTGGGCCCGAGGTCGTTTTCATTAAGCCACGTTTTGCTAAAGGGGGTTCTATCCATCCCCAAGGGGGGAAACTCGGGGAGACACGGTGGGGAGGCTGTGTGTCCGGACGCACCCCCCTCGAGGATGGACGCCCCTCCTGATGGAGCCTCGCAGGTCATGGTAACGATCGGATCCGGTATTTAGAAAAACGGCCCCGGATCTAGAAACTCATATTGTTTATTTAGTGAACAGGTTTCTGCGTCTACTAAATGATGTTTGGTCTTGTTTTGATTAGGCGGCGCAGTTAAATTAATCCGTTTCTCGTTTTAGTAAATCATCGCTTGTCCATATTTTGTTTTCAGGATGCGCGTTCGTTCATTACCATGACCTGTGTTAGCCGGCGGCCTCCTGCGCACATCCCCGAGTGTGGCCCCAGATCGTTGGTCCAGACAAGACTTCCCCAGAGTCGAGGACTGGGCCCGACGGGGCGAGGACGAGGACAAATCCGCTCCAGAGCGTTCTGGGGCGCTCTGAAAAAGCGGCGGTGATCGATACATCCTCGATTGATCCGTACCCGAGTTTTTATCCTCGCCCCAGCTTCGTCTTAGATTGGGGTCTTCCTGCCCCGCGCTGGACAGAACGAGAGAAAGCTGTACAGACATACCTCGCCTGCCAGGCCTCCACCCTTGCGCGCACCGCGCGCCGGGGGGGGGGGGCCTGCGCAGAGGCAAGACATCCGTGCGCGCCTCCGAAGGTTTACGTTTTACCCGTCGGTCGTTGAGAGTACGCATTTTTGGGGATTCCCAGATCCCAATCTACTTCTGCCTCCTGCTTCAAGAACCGGCATGGAGTTGATGTGTTCTGTTACTCCATCGGAGGGCCTGCTCCCAATCTGCTTTATCCGCCTTTCTACTTTTCGTGCTTTTACCTGCTTCTTCCGACCGACGGGTATGCCGCTTTTCTTCTTCCCATGGAGGAGGACGCCCTGATGGCCATCCAGCCCCCCATCGAGGCGGCGCCGTTGACCGAGAGCGCCCCGCAGCCAGGCTTGGGATCCCGCAAAGGGTGTGTGTGTGTGTGTGAGTGTGTGTGTGTGAGTGTGTGTGTGTGTGTGTGTCTGCGTGTCTGTGTGCCCCTGTCGTGTGTGTGTGTGTGTGCGTGTGTGTGAGTTCGATCGATGTTGCACCAAACCGCCCAGAACAGATGCCTCCCAGCCGCAGGCAGCTCCCGAACGTTGCCGATAGGTGGGGGTAGGCGGGGGGGGCATCTGTTTGCGGCAGCTCGGTGCACCGAACTGCTCGGTGCACCAGCTGATCGATCTCGTGCCCCCCCCCTCAGGGGAAGTACCCCTGTGGTGGATCCCGCCAGGGGTGCTGCGCCGCACGGAGTCCAGCGTGGTGGCCAGGCGGTTCGCGGCGGGCTGCTTCGTCGTGCAGGTGCAGGCGTACGCCTGCGAGGACGAGCCCGAGGATCGGGGGGCGGCCTCGCCGACCCCTTAGCATGACGTCGGGCATGCCCCTCTACAGGAGGAAAAAAAATAGGAAGAGCATAGTCGGGTGACGATTCTTCGTGCTCATTTGAGTATTTCGCGGTTTTTGGTTATGCTTTATTATGTTTCTTCTCAAATCCGCCTGTGAAAGGACATGCCCGACCTAATCCTGGCAAACCATCCTCTGCCGTGACGCCCCCCTCGCCTCGCCCCAAGATTCAGGAGCGAAAGAAGGACGTACACGTACATGAATCCACGCTGGTTTCGAGAGTTCGCACTGCCCGAAAGTTTGTATCACGCAGCCGGTCTCGCAGATCGAGGGGCCGTGTTCATGTACATAGCTGGGCGCGTACGTCCTTTGTGGGCTCCCTAAAGATGTATGCGCGCGGCTCTGGATGGGAGTCTGAGAGGCGAGGGGGGGGGGGGTCGGTCCGGCCGCGCCCGAGAGGAGTACGGGAGCTTGTGGTGGCTGCGGGTGAGGTGGCTCCCCCCGACCCTGCCCGGAAGCAGAAGCTCGGTGAGCGGCCTCATCGCGGACGTGTACCAGGACGAGCTCAGGGGCCTCTCCGGCCCCTACTCCAACTTCCTGCTGCTGCAGCGCTTCCTGCTCTACGGCCGCAACGAGGTAATCCAGCGGGCGCAGCAGGAGTCCCTGCGGCCCAAAAGTGGGGTCCAGCTGAAAGGGGGTGGTGCAATAGATGTTGGGCAACCGTACTGCACATGTACTGCGCCAGAGAGTTGTATCGCGTTGTGCTGCAATTGTAATGTGCTGCGCGCGAGAGCCCAGCAGTCCCACCAATCTGTTGCACCAAACCTACAGTCGGCCTTGATTGGACAGGACACGCGAGAGGACAGAAGACCCTTCCGGGGGCCACGTTGCCACAGAAATGCGGGAGGCATGGGCCGCAAGACACGGGACACGAGGGTACCCTTGACCTGGCAGGGTCGACCTACTGATCCGGGCCGCCTGTATTGCACCACTCCCTCTTGGGCCAATTCCGAAGCACCCCCCCTCTTGGACCAATTCCGAAGGATGACCCCCCCCTCTTGGAAGGACCCCCCCTCTGCAATTCCGAAGGAGGGAGGACCCCCCCCCCCTTGGAAGGACCCCCCCTCTTTTGGAAGGACCCCCCCTCTCGAAGGTGGACCACTTCCGAAGGACCCCCCCCTCTGCACTGCCGCTGGACCCGCGGCGGCCTCCTCCCGGACCTCTCGGCTGCATGCAGTGCATGCGCCTCCTCCTCCTCCCTCTTCCTCCCTCCTCCTCTTCCTCCCTCCTCCTCCTCCTCCCTCCTCCTCCTCCTCCTCCTCCCTCTTGGGGCCAATTCCCCGTTCAGGAGGCCGAGCGCGAGCGGCGCAGCTCCCGGGCGCCGGGCGCGGGGCCCGCGCTCCCGGGCGTCGGCCGGGCCGGGCCCATGCTGCCCGGCGTGGGGGCCCGGTCGTGAGGGGGGTCGGGGGCGGAAAAGAGGGGGGTGATGACTGGGGGGGGTGGATATCATGGCGGGGGTCATGAGATTTCCCCAGATTTCATGGCGCCTCTTCTTATTTCATTACGTCCCTGGCCCACCCGCTGGGCCGCGCACATGCCGCCGGTCATAATTTGCACCCCCCCCTCTTGGACATCCCCCTCTTTGCCGCCCCCGAGGGGTTGACTGCAGCGGGCGGCCCCCCCTCGCAAAAGAAGAAAAACAAAAAAACACGCGCCGCCGTCGTCGTCGTCGTCGTCGGCGCCGCCGTCGTCGCCGTCGTCGCCGTCGGCGCCGTCGTCGTCGTCGCCGCCGCCGCCGTCGTCGTCGTCGTCGTCGTCGTCGTCGTCGTCGTCGTCGTCGTTGTCGTCGTCGTCGTCGTCGTCGTCCCGGCCGCCGCTGTTGCGGCAGACGCCGTCGGTGCGGCACGCCCCGCGTGCGCGCTGGGAGGGGCGGCGAGCGGCCCCGACAAGAGGAGGGCGAGCTGAGGCGGCGTGAAGTCGGGCCTGTCCGTGCCAGCCTGGAACATGTCCCTGTCCCTATGCTGGGCACCTCCTCGTCATGATGCCAGTCTTAGGGGTTCCCTTATTTTTTTTTGAGGGCGCATCCCTAGGATTGGCACCGCCTTTTGGCGTGTCAATCTTAGGGATAGGGATAAGTTCGAGGCTGGTAATGTCCCTCTACAGGAGGAGTATTCAAAAATTGTCACAAAAAATAGGATGGGGACGATTTGTGCGTATTTTTGCATATGTTTGTAATCTTCTGTGAGCGCTTTTCATTTTCCATGCAAGATCCCAGGAGGACATGCCCGACCCAAAGCGGAGGCAGCGGCAGCGGACCTTCGGGGGGTAGGGGGGCCGGAGCCCTCGTCGCCACGGCGGCCCGCAGCGCGGGACAGCGTGGTGCGCCTGGGCCCCCCCTGGGGGATGGTCCGGGAGCCGGTCCTGAGCTGCCGCTGCCTCCGTGCGCCCTTCTCCGACCGGAGGGGACGAGGCTCGCGGAGCTCCCCCGACCTCCTCGCGCTGTGAAAAAATCACGACGGGAGGTTTTTCGTATTTTCGGCCTCCCGGGGCCCTTCCCGGCCTCGGGACCGTTAAAAAGCAACTCAGGACGAAAAACCGGTCCCGGGGAAGGGTTCCAGACGTCTGGGGGTCGACGTTGTAAAAAAATCACGACGTCGGGGGTCTGGGTCCTGGGGCCTGCCCCAGGTCGGGGGCACGGGGGGGCAGGAGACCCGCCATGCGAGGGGGGGGGGGGGGAAGGCTTCTCAGGAGCACCCCTGCGTCTCGGAGGGCGCGGGCCTCGTCTATATAATATAGCTGTAAAGCCGGCGCCTTCCAAGAAGCAGGCTCCTTCTAAGACGCCTTCCCCCCGCCCCCTGCCTCCACTGCGCGCCCCGCTAAGTCTGGGGCCCAGGGCCATCGAACAATGGATCCGGATGAGAAGCCGCGGGAGGCCAAGACCCGTTCCCCTCGGGTCCATGTGCTGCCATGGCAGCCGTACCATCAAGTCGTCGATGCATGCCTCGGCCATGCCAACCCATTCCTACCCGCTGCTGGCTGCTGGCATGATACACGTTCTTGAATATTGGGGAGGATGAAGAGAGAAGGAGGAAGGGAGGAGCAGGCAAGATCATACGCTTCTGGGCTGGATGTGCGGAGCATGAAATACATGATGTGTCTAAGCGCTGTAGAACTTGGGCTTCGGAGGCGCCACCTTTTGGGAGAAGTGGGGCTCCGTTGTGCGAGGGCCTCCCAAGTTGGAGCCGTTGTGGCCGTAGCCTGCGGAGCCCAAACTTGCAATCCGAAGGCTTCGTTCAGACACGCAGGACCCGAGCGTCGAAGTTCACACTCGTAGATCAGCGGAACAGGATCGCAACGAGGGGGAGGAACACCTGCTCTCTTTGAAAACGACTGCCCTAACGCCACGAGCCCAGAGGCAGTGTAACACTGTTCGGGGTTTGTCGTTGAGCGTCCGCCCTCCGTCCCAAAAATCCGCCCGTAGGGGGACACGCCCGACCTGTCCGCACTGTTCCTGGGGTGTGGGAAGCGGGCACGCCGGAGGCGGGCCACCGGCCGGCGACGGGGCTCCTCGAGGGACCGGCACCAACGGGGGGTGAGGAGGAAGCGGAGGAGGAGGAGGAGGAGGAGGAGGAGGATGAGGAGGAGAGGAGATGAGAGGATGAGGAGTATTTCGACTATTAGGGGAGGGGGTAAGGGGAAGGGGGAAAGGGAGGAGAGGGGGGGGGGGGAAGAGGAGGAGGAGGAGGAGGAGGAGGGGGGGATGAGGGATTAGGAGGCGAGTGGAGGAGAGAGGGGAGGAGGTGAGGAGGAGGAGGAGGTGAGGGGAGGAGGAGGGAGGAGGGGGAGGAGGGCGGTAGGAGGAGGGGGTTGGAGGGGGAGTGTGAGGGGGAGAGAGGAGTGCGGGGAGGAGGAGGATGAGGAGGAGGAGGAGGAGGGGGAGGAGGCAGTGAAGGAAGGAGAAAGAGGGATGGAGGGAGGAGGAGTTGGAGGAAGAGATTCGAGGATCGACCAATCTTTTTGTTTGAACGTGTGTCGCGTTTGTGGGGCCTCCTGGGATTCCTCCAGAGGTCTTGAGGGTCCTGCGGGATTCCCGTGGATGCGTGGGTGCATCTCCAAGGAGCCCGCCGATCACCAGTTCTATTGGCCTTCCTGTGCGCGATCAGGTAAAGCCCCATCGGGCAGCAAAAATGAGGAGCACGAGGTATAAGCCAGGGTGACCCTCATTAGGACTTCTGGGTGGGTCGCAGAAGAAGGCGAAGCATAGTAGGACCCTCTAAGCAGACCCGACCTGGTGCCATGACAGACTACGAAATACGATGTACGTGCATCCTTGGTTCGATCTCGGTTCTTGGTGTGATACCTGCGCGGCGCGGCGGGAAGACCAGCACCTTCCCAACTCTTCTCGCCTGCGACGGCGGGCACTGCCTTTCTGACGCAGGCGCAGCCTTTTCCGGAACCGCGGGCAAGGAGGGGAGCGACGGCAGCGAACAGGCACAACCGAGCATACATCGTATAACGTTCACGTACAAGTTTGCTTCAGCGAGTACTGCCGTTTCTGAGCCTGCTCTTTTCCAACTCAGCGCAACATTGCGCAGTTTCAAGTGCGATCGTCTCCACATGCTCTTGAGTCTCTTGAGCCGCGGGGTGGTCCCAGGAGGTGTTGGGACTTCTTGGCGTCCCCGCTATTCCTTGTCTCTCTCCCTCCCTTCTAGCGTCCTCTCTCTCCCTTCCTCCCCCTCCACTTCACATCTGCGTCGTCCCCTCCATTCCCCCCTGTCCATCTCACTCCCCCTCATCCCCGACCACCTGCACTTCCCGATACCCGCCTGCTGGGTTGGAATCATGGAACGCTTACCCTTCGTTTCGCGCACTCTTTGTTTGCATTGTGCCTCGCAGCAGGTATCGGGAGGGAGACGGACCCACTGGTGTTGGCAGCTTGGACGTCTGCAGCAGTATGACGCATTGCTGTTTTTCAGCGCAGGTCTCCAGCTGCTCGCGCCTCCGCGCTCAGGCCGCCGCAGAGCTCGTCTCCTCCGTTTTCTCCTCCGCCTTCTCCTGCTCATCCTTCTCGTCCTCCCTCCTTCCTTTCGCCTCCTCCTCCTCCTTTCTCCTCCTCCTCCTCTCTCCTCATCCTCCTCCCTTCTTCCTCCCTCCCCAGAGTTCTCCAAGGGTCACCAGAGGCTTCAAGAGGCACAAGAACCTTCCAAACACCGACCCTCGATCATCGATGATCAACCTCCTTCCTATTGTTAATCATGTTCCTGCTCCTTCTCCTTCTCCTCCATCTCCTTCGTATCCCCATTTCTCCTCTTCCTCCTCCTCGCCCTCCTCATCCCTCTTCATTCCTCACTCCTCTCTCCTCATTCATCCTCGTCCCCATCCTCATGCCCCTCCTCCTCCTCCTCCTCCTCCTCCTCCTCCTCCTCCTCCTCCTCCTCCCCTCCTCCCTCTCCTCATCGCCATAACCATCACCATCGCCATCGCCATCACCATCACCATCATCATCATCATCATCATCATCATCATCATCATCATCATCATCATCGTCATCATCAGCCGCAGCAATTTCATCAGGATTAGCAGCATCATCAGCATCATCATCATCATCATCATCATCATCATCATCACCATCCTCATCATCATCAGCATCATCATCTGCATCAGCAGCAGCATCATCATCATCCCTCCTCGCTGCTCCACACTCCCTTCTGGCCCTCACTCCTCCCCCCCTCCTCCTCCCCCTCTCCTCCCTCCCTCCCTCCCTTCCTCCCCCCCTTCCCCCCCCCCCTCTGCCTCGGGGCTGCGCCCGGCAGCGGGGTCCAACTGCCCGCCCATGGCCGGGCCCTCGGCGCGCCGTCGCCGCGCCGCTCGTGCCGGGGCAGGGCTGCAGAGGAGGAGGAGGAGGAGGAGGAGGAGGAGGAGGAGGAGGAGATTCGAGGAGAGGGAGGAGCAGGAGGAGGAGGAGGAGAAGGAGGAGGAGGAGGAGGAGGAGGAGGAGGAGCGGGAGGACCAGTGCAAACCCAAGGCTGTGGGGCGCATGTGGCGCGTCAGATGAAGAGCCTTGTTGTCGAGTGTCGTGCTCCTCGGAGTCGCGGAGCGAAAGCTCTCCGACGGCTCGCCCAGGGTTTCCTGCCAGGCATCCTGAAAGCTGCGATGCCTGCTCAGCTTGTGCGCCTGGAGCTGGACTGAGACTGCTTCCTGTTGTGGCCCTCAGGCGGGGGCCCCAATGCGTCGGGAAGAAGAAGACAGTGCAAACCCAAGGCTCATCCACGATATTGCAATAAGCCCTCCCTCCAAGTTCTTTCTTCATCTTCATAGGCTTCTACAACGACTCCTGTCCACTGACGGAAATGCCCCGTTGGAAGATCACCGCTTGAAAATTCTGATTCTGGTTTGTGCCAGAACGTCATTCCTGGGACTTCATGTTGCGAGCCACTGTTACTGTTGCGCCTTGACGATCCTGAATCGCGCGGGAACGCCACTCCTGGAGCTCAACTCCACGAATCAACCTAACTGATGCGGCCTGGCAGTCGAGCATTGTGCCCAAACACCATGTCTCGGACGTGAAGCATGAAGACAACTCTTGAACCCGTTGTGTACTCCTAAAACGAATGTGCGCGGCGTTGATGCGAGAGCCACATTTTGCAAACGACCCGCCCTCCATCCGCGAAGCTCTTCGCATTTCGCACACACGAGTGC